GTATATATATATATATAATTATATTACTATGGTAATTCGTTTAAAAACTATATATTACAAATACATACACATATACATATATAAATAATAACACATATATATCTATATATGTATATAGATGTAATATATTTTCCTAATATTTACCAGACGACGAAACACAAATTTGAATAAAAATTTGTCGAGTTTTATTCAATATCCATCCCCTCCCTCTCCCTCGTTTCTCTCTCGTTATCTTTTTTTTTTTTTCATTTTTTCATTTTTTCATTTTTTTTTTTTTTTTATTTCTTTCTAATCAAGATAAGTGCCAATACAGGTAAAATTTCTTATAGAAATATCTCATCGAACTGGTATTCTTTTTTTATCGGATATAATAATGATCAAAATCTTGTATTTTTATCAAAACATACTTTCTCTCTCTCTCTCTCTCTCTCTCTCTCTCTCTCTCTCTCTCTCTCTCTCTTTTTGATGAATCCACGTTCGAAAGGATCACAGAAAAAAAATATTAAAAACTTGTTGAAACCAAGATTTCAAGATCTCAGTTCTTTTTCGAAATAGAGAGAAAAAAAGAAAGAGAGAGAGAGAGAGAGAGAGAGAGAGAGAGAGAGAGAGAGAGAGAGTGAGAGAAAGAGAGAGAAAGAGAGAGAAAAAACAATACTAGAGAACGCCAAACGATCATAACTGAAAATAAAAATAAAATTAGGATTATACATTGATCGCAATTAATTATTAATATTAACGATTTACAACAATATACAAACAATCGTTCGATACAATCAGCGAAACTTTTTAAAAGAGTATATATATATGTTTTTTTTTTTATCGTGTCATCGATGTTATTTAAATAAATATAAAAATATAGCCAATGCGACGAACACAATCAAACGAACAAAACATACATATATTTATATAACCATAAAAACCATGAAAAAAAATTATATCCTCTTACATATATAATTATCTCCGTGCAATTATTTCATTTTTTTTTTTTCCATACAATTTTTCAATATAAATTAAAACAAAAAACTAAAATACAATGTGTACTAAAATTTAAAAAATAAACAATTGATAAACAATTGACAATAATATCCCCCTCCCACCCTCCTCCCCGTCATTTTTATCCTTTTTCGCATTAACCTTTTTATGGGGGGGGGTCCCATTTTCTTTCTACTTGTAACTTTTGTTTCGTTACACACCGAGAGGATATTAACGTTAAATTAAAAAAAAAAAAAAAAAAAAGAAAAGAAACTTGGTTCAACACGATTTATGTTTTATAATACATATAATAAAACACATATGCTAATAATCTATTGCCAAAATTGTCGATTCGTTTACATATGTATTATATATTTATATTTTCAAATGATTTTCAAATGATTTTCTTTTTTTCTTTTTTCTTTTTTCTTTTTTTTTTTTTTTTGGTTCACTTTTGATCATGTTCCTCCTCACGGTCTTTTTCCTTACGATCATTATTAATTTTGCATTGTCTCTTTTTTTTCTTCTTCTTTTTCTTCTTCTTCATCATCTTATCCCCTAATTTCACGCACATTTCTAATAAATCATAGTAAT